TCCTCTTCTTTTCTCATTCCAAGCACTCTCACTTCTTGTTTGCCTGCATGTTGGGTGACTGTGGCACCATGGGAAACACAATAATACATACATTCTTGTAATACATAGTCTTGCCAAGAATCCCTAGAAAAGGGAAGGCTATGTTGTACACTGTCAGGGTAATTTTAATAACATAAAAATCAGTCATATTTATACAGGGAATCTGATTGAACATGGGTAAAACTTGGGTGAACTCTAAATTGACTTTAGTGGTTTCATTAGCACAAAAGAATCAAAACCCAGGGTCTCACTCTGTGAACACTTGTCTGTAAACTCACCTTATTAAGAATGCATAAGGCCCTGAAAAAGCTGTCTTGTGATGCCTGAAACATGTTCACAGCTAATTTATGCCAGAAAGGGGGCCAGGAATAACCCTGAAGGGCAGTCATCAGTTGTTAAGGGTTTCATTTTCCAGGTAAGCTGTGGTACACGTCTCCGTCACACACCACACCCACCAACATTTGTTACATCAGTTTTGTTTGGACAGTCTTTTCTTCATCTCCCTTCTTCCTTTTTATTAAGATGGTCATCAACTTTACATAAGCCCTCATAGATAACCCATTTTATTACCGGAACATTCCTTATGTTTAAGCCACTCCCTGAAGAGTCATCTTAATGTTTTCACTGAGTTATTTCCAAATTACATTGTAAAGTAGATGATTGTTTTTCCGACAGAGGAATTTCTTAGTCTCATCAGTAATGTGTAGGTTCCTATGAGTTTTCATGTGAAATTAAGTCCCTTTACTCACCTGCCTCCTAACCATGACCCTGGACATCTCAGCATAGGTCTTGAGGTACATTTTCTTCTGGGCCTCCTGGGTCCTATTCTCATATATTAAGTGGTGTAGAACAATGCATACAGTTGGCCTTCTGCATCTGCAGACTCCCAACCACAGGTCGAAAATACTGTTTTCAATCTGTGTTTGGCTGAAGCCCAGGAATACAGAGGGCCAACATTTTTTTTTTTAAAAATCCACATAAAGTGGGCCCGTGCAGTTGAAACCAGTATTGTCCAAGGGTCAACTGTCCTTTTTCATTTGTGCAAAGAGTAGAAATAGAACATATCTGAGAATGTCCTTTCAAGAGCTACCCTAGGGATGGAAATCTGAATTAAGCTTTAGAATCTCAAATATTTGAATCAACACTGTATTGATAAGCAGAAAAACAAACAATGCTGATATAAGATAGTCTATATTCTCTCCTGTGGCTTTTATGACCTCTGAAAGGAAACTGGTGCTCACTTAAACCACTGATCTACACTAGGAAGTTGTTTGTGCCTTGTGTCTTCTTCCTTTGTTGAAAAAGTTCTGAGTAAATGCTTTGATTCCCTCATAATACTGATGGAACTTTTTCCTCTAGTGTGACTTTTTCTGTGTCTGAAAAGATTTGAGCTCTGACTAAAGGCTTTCCCACATTCATGACACTTGTAGGGTTTTTCCCCAGTGTGGATTCTTCGATGCTGAATCAGGACTGCACTTCGGCTAAAAGCCTTTGCACACACATCACACGCATAAGGTTTCTCTCCACTGTGGATTCTCTGGTGTAGGATAAGGGCTGAGCTCTGACTAAAGGTTTTGCCACATTCATCACACTTGTGTTGTTTTTTTCGAGAAGGATTTCCATGTCTTCTTTCAAACATGCCATCTTGTTCACTGGTTTCTCTAGATGTGAAACTCTGGGCAGCATTCATACAAATGGTGTTAGAAACATTGTGATCCAGTTCTATGCCCAAAGAAGTACTTTGCCTTGAAGCTGGCTTCACATTTACAGGTCTAGTGCCTTTATCTGAAATAATACACAGAAAAGCAAATGTTACCGGTTCCCTGTTTAGAAAGAAAGAAGAAAAATAGAATGACCCAAATGAAACAATATGCGCATCATTTATTAGCTGGCACGTTTGTAAAATAGCATCACAATGTGGAGGGCAGAGGGGGTAAAGCAGAAAGCACCGAGATCATACAGTAAGCGGGAGGAATTCTAGTCTGAGGGGGTGGCCATGGGAAATATGAAAGGCTCTACGTAAAAGGTAGAATTGTGAGTAGGGGTAAAAAGGCATGTCAGAGGCTGAGGAAGTCTGGACAGAAAGAGGAAGGGCCTCCAAGAGGAGGAATTAGTGGAGAAGCAGAGGGGCAACTGAAGGAGAAGAGTCAAATGCGGCAGCAGGCTGTAATAGCAAGAGTGCCAACCACCAAAACCAAGTCTAATATTGATAAACGAATCACTAGTGAAGCAAAGGGAGGAGATGAAGAAAGCCAAAGGGTCAAAAAGGAACATGGAAGCCCTGGCTGGGTAGCTCAGTTGGTCAGATCCTTGTCCCAATACGCCAAGGTTGCGGGTTCAGTTCCAGGTCAGAGCACATAGAAGAATCAACTGCCTGGCCGGTGTGGCTCAGGGTTGAGCATCGACCCACGCACCAGGAGGTCTCTAGTTTGATTCCTGGTCAGGGGACATGCCCGGGTTTCAGGCTCGATCCCTGGCAGGGGGTGTGCAGGAGGCAGCTGATCAATGTTGATGTTTCTCTCTCATTGATGTTTCTATCTCTCCCTCTCCCTTCCTCTTCCTCAAAAATCAACAAAAACATATTTTTTTAAAAGAAGAGCCAACCAATGAATGCATCAATAAGTGAGGCAACAAATCGATGTGTTTTTTCTCTCTCAATTAAAAAAAAGAAAAGAAGAAAAAGGAATATGGAAAATGAAGTCAGAAAATACAAGTTAGGCAAAAAAAAAAAAAAAAAAAAGAGGA